TTCACTGAGTTACGCAAGCCCCTTCGCCACGACAAGGCAGTGATCCATGAAGGGGAATCTATCTGAAGAAGTTTCCAAACTAAACATATGTAGAATGAGTGTGTCTAAGGCCATTTCCCCACTATTGACTTATAATGTCTCTAGAGTTTCATCCAATCAGAACTGAAATGATAGAAAAAGCCTGTTCTCATTGCTGTGATTTCAAAACAGTGAAGGTTAATAACTTTAAAAGATGATTTAAGTTGCTACATCTAGGGCAGAATTCACAGATATATTCAGATCTCAGATTTATCCACCAGGGTAGCAAAATGTTATGTGCCTTAAAGAAGGAAAGAAGAACATAAACTCTGCAATATAATCAATGTATTGTTAAGTGGAACATTTATTTATATTACATATTACTGCTCTCAAGGAAGGGAGAGGGTATGCTTGCTCACCTGGAAGCTGGGTCTCATCCTCTTTCCACACAAAGATTTTGCACTGCAATTCAAAACCTGGATGATCCCACAATGTGAGCTGTGCCTGAGAACTGAACTGATTTATTTCTTGCTCAGCTGCAGTAAAACCGAATAATTGTTTTTGAGTTTTTTAAATACATGTGGAAACCAGAAAGGAATCAGTTTTGGTAATAATACTCTCTACTGTTTGTAAGTTTTTATAAATCTAATTAAACACAGTATTAGCTTGGATAAACCCAGTGTAGATTTTATTGTGTATTTGTTTTTTCTGTTTCCTAATTGTAAGGCTTGCTAATATGTTTGAGCATAAAAATCCAGATCCACCGTAGAATGTCTTTTCTCCATATATTGTAGATCTCTTCATTAATATCTGCTTAATACGACTTGCAACAAATTCTCTGTGAAATAATTCTCTCAAGTGGTTCTAGATAAATCTTTTGCAAGGTTAGCAAAGAACCTAAAGTATCAGTAGGTGAACTTAGCTAAAAATACAGCAATACTGCTTTTACTTGTCCTAAATGGAATTCAGATTTGGACATAGTGGGGCTGAAATTGGCTTTCAGTAGACTTATCACATGTAATTAAAAATGTTACTTTTGAACTTTAAAGCACTTAACTTTACAATTTGCATCTAGGTATCTGCAGGACTACTACACTTAGAGAAGGGACACAAAATCTTTGTTTTCCCTGATCCAAATTGTTGATTGTCAGCTTCTGAAAGAAGTCAGCAATAAATATATTTTGAAAAGGTATTCCCACAACATGCTTTTACTTGATTTATCGTATTAGTAATATGTACTGTAACTTTAGTTAGCTGTCATTGGGTATTTATTTGAACTTCACTTATTTTTCCTTGAAACCTCTTCATTTGGTTGGAATATTTGACATTATAGATTGAGGACAGATTTCTGTTCATCACTAATCTTCACATAGATATCATCTAGGTGTTGTATCTGAGGTGATCTTAATAAATACTGAAGACAACTTCATACAATTTGTATTTGGAAGTCAGTACAATACATGTAATCATTAACTTTCAGTTGCATAATTGAAGGTTCAGTCTTTTGCATGTTTTTACAAAATTGAGCTTTGATGCACTAGGTGACCATTTGCCACTGACTCCAGAACCCTTCTGCCCATTTTTTGGAGTGCTCCAATATGATATTCAAAAGTCAGATATGGGGGAAAATAATTATTCTCCGAACACTTATGAAAGATAAAGATGAAGGGTTCATATGTTAATATATCCTATAGATGTCAACTCAAGGTAGTTCAGGTCAGAAAACAGACCTCATAAAGACTACTGGAATTCTACTATTGTAGGGTATAACAACAATATCTTGAAGTTTCCTTCTGTGTTCCCTTATACCATGTAGAATCAGGACATGATTATTCTATTTTATTTTCTTATGCTTACTTCTTTCCCATGGCCAAGTTTTCATTTCAGTCTCTTTTATCTGTTAACAGCTCTTGCATTCCTTCACCAACATCATCTCTGCCTCCTTCTGTGATAGGTTACTAGGATGTAGAACATCAATTGCAGACATTCTACACAATTGTTTCTCACAGATATGCATATGTAAGTTGCATATCTGTTCATTATGCATTACTTTGAGCAGCTAGAAATGTATCTTGGAGTTATGTAGTTTCCAAGTAACTCCTGCACTGAAATGCTTTTCGTGCAGTAATTGGGTTAATTAAAAAGAAAGTAAGGGCATAAGACAAGAGAAAGAAAATTAAATATGTTGACATTACTATATTAGTTATCAGTAGGATTCCAGCCCAATTCAATGATCTAGTTTAAACTTTTAAAGCCCCACATGGCTTGGTGCCTGCATACTTGAAGAACTGTCTCTCTCAATCAGAATTAGCCAGTCTTGGGTTCATCCCCATCCCACATGAAGTTAAGGGGATGGCAGCTCAGAAGCAGATCTTCTCATTAATGCCCCCATATTATGGAACAACTTGCCCACTGAGATAAGGATGCCCCCCACCTTGAGTTCCATTAATCTGTCAAGACCATCTTGTCTCCCATAACATCTGCATCGCTGATTCGATCCTGCAGGGTTGGAGCGCTATAGGCTCCTTCAATTAAACAATGTCATCTCTCAGAACGGCCCCCATTCTACTGTTGTTTAGAAGAGCTGTGAAGATCTGGTTCTTCACCCAGGTCTTCAGCAAGGGAGCACGAAACCCCTCACTTCATCATGCTTGCTAACTTTTTCCTTTATTTTTTATGTTTTATTGTAACTTCTTGTTCAATTGTTGTGAGCTACCCAGAGTCATTGAGAGTTGGTTGGCATAAATAAATTATTATTATTCTGAAGTGCTCTGGGGGCAGACAGTGGACCTCAGTTTTCTTCTAAATTTTAATTGTACTTTAATTGTATTTTATTTTTACTTTGTGAACTGGAAGTTAGATGATATAAAAAATAAGCCTACACAACTAAATCTAATTTATGCCAATACTACAGTATTCACTATACCTCTCTGTACTTTTCTATCCTTGCAAGCCATCTTTACTTCCATTACATCCATACACTGCTTCATACGTTGCCTTTGAAGAATTATGTGAAAGGCATCAAAGAATAATGGACTTTTTCATTAAAAGCAGAAAAAACCAATATACTATCTCCTTGATTAAACAGTTTCTTCTCTGTATAGGATTGCATTAGGTACAATTCAATATAGGTAGTCCTTGTTTAGCGACTGCCTCATTTAGCAACTGTTTGCAGTTATGATGATGGAAAAGTAACGTTATGATCAATCCTCGCATTTACGACCTCTGCAGGTTTGTACAGCAAAGGAAAGCTGACGTAAGATCATAAGCACAGTCGCAGTGTCACTTAGTGACCTCTTTTCTTATCAACCAAACTTCCAGTGCCAATTGTGGTTGCTGAACAAGGACTACCTGTACTTGCTAATCTGGTAGCAAATTTCATTCAATTTCCTAGCATACATTTTATTCCTACAAATAGTTTGCAAGGAATTTTATTCCTACAATAGTTTGTAATCCCATACATCAGATTAGACATACTCCTCTTCTAGACTCTAGTCTAAATTCTGATGTTATAAATCCCCTCCTATATTTAAAGGAAATAGTCTGCTACACTGAGAAAATTTACTTTCAAAAGGAAATCCAGCTTAAACAAATGACAGATTTACTCAACTGTCTTTATTTACATAGAAATATGTGTACACATGTATTCTGTATTTGTACACATACATTTCTAAGTATATATACATTTATAATTTCCACATACTCTACAATAAACAATTTCATTTGTATTTAAAGTGGCTACAGAATTGGGTAAAAATACATGTCCAAAAATAACAGCTTACGACTAAATTACAAAAATCACCCAATATTGAACTCATAAATTTTAGCAAGAAATCCTAGCTTATATACAGCCAGATCTAGGCCACATGATACAAATGTGAACTAGAATTTTAGTGATTTATTTAAAAAGAAAGAACTGCGGGGGGCGGAGTTAATTTGGCAAAACTCTTTTCAACAGACAAAATAACAGTAGGGAAATAGGTTCAGGTTCTGGATTATGGCCACGTAAATAAAAACATACATGTTTCCAAACTCTTAATTTCTAAGACCATTTCTTTCTTTTAATTAAATGATATTGGCCATACTTTTCCTGCCAAACAGTATGGGTGGAAATAGGAACCAAGTAGATAGATAGATGCCTGGGATATACTGGATGGGATGTGAATCTGAACCGGAGCTCCAGCTTGTTGGAATCATGGAAAGTTGACCCTGCCAGTTTTCCCCAGGTTAAATTCTGGTCAGAAAGCAGTCTGTGTCAGACATGTAGGTGAGGTAGCTGCTAATATTATTAATACTGAATAACATGGGATGGGATAGTTTCTCACTATATGCCAAATGACACTTCAATTTGCCCCTTCTAAAATGGCTGATTGTAACAAAAACAAATCTAATGATCTGGTCCTTACATTATCAGAAGCCAGCTATTTTCTCTCCTTTCTGGTCCTTGTCTTTTTGGGCAAAGAGGTTTTTTCTTCCCCTTCACAAACAGAAAGCTCATATTACATATTTTGAGTGCAGATACCACTGCTATCACAGATTTATTCCAAAAGCTATTTGAGTCTTTAATCTTATCCCTCAAATATGATAGTAAATGCATTGAGTATCATTACTGAGTTGCTAGATTGTTATTCATTGTTCAGAAATGCATTCTATTCACAGGATAATAAAATGGAGCTGTTTGCCTGTGTATGCACCCAATAGAGTAATTCTATATAGAATTCTATATAGAATATATATCCTATATTCTATGCACAGAAGACCTTTGAATCCCAAAAGTAGCTGAGTGGGATTTCATGCAATGTGAGAATTGTTTGGTTATCACTTTTGTTGCAAGAGTGAATAACCCTTATCTCTTTCTATAGGTAGACATGCTAGAATCTGCTGTATAAATACTTGGGTGATGTATCATTAATTCCATGTAACAATCCCAAAATGCACAAAGATGTCAGAGTTTATATGCCTCTTTTGATTTCTCTTGGGAACGAGAATATTTTATTCTGGTTCTCAGAAGTACAATGGTTAGTGGGAATGACATCCTACATGCATATGGGGTCTTCTTTTTCCTCTCCTCTTTCTTCAAATATGTTCCAGAAAATGTGGAACAGATTTGTGAATGAGTAGATGCAAGGGGGAAAGAGAATCTATTTCTGCCGCTGGAAAAAAGCAGATGGATATAACTGAATTTTCTCCTAGGCAATAATAATAATTCTTTGTAATATTTTAACAAATTGTTAAAAAGTGTGTTTGGATGATGGAGATGACACTATCTCCTTGTTGAAGCATATCAGGTCTGAGCTGAGTTAGTGCCTAGATCACCTGGGAACCACCTGTATGCAGCCAATTAATTCATATCAGAAGGAAAACATAATATAAGTATTTACATAAGGGAATCATACCCTGCTTTGAAAAATTAAATATACAAACTCTGGAATTTTAGTCAATTAAAGCAAGGTGGTAAAAATCTCATTATATAGTTACATTAGGTTTCTTCTTCAAGAGTTTTTCTATAATAGTCCTGGCAACTGTTCATGATACTAAAAAGCTGAGTCCATTTGAATGTGAACATGATTCCACTGCATACAGGGAGATGATCATCCACTGCTTCATTGTCTCACTGAAATCAATGTTGTAGCTTACTGCATTTAATGAAAACAGTCTTCTTTAGAGCCCTTGTGATTTTACTTTTAATATGCTTTCACAATGGCAAAATTGGTAGACACCCCAATTTCTGAATTACATGAATAGACTTTAAGGATAAACCAGTTTAAATACGGAAAACATTTCTCATTTTTTGCATTAAATGGGTGTTTAATAGAATTTAGTTCTGTCAAACTATATGTTTGTTCTGCCCACTGATCTTGAAGAAAAAATTCCTGTGTTTACTGATTTTCACTGACAGAATGAAGAATGGCACTGTCTATAAATCTGTATAGTGGGCAACATATCCATGTAACATGTATCCAGTTCTGCGTCCTAATCTCTGCTCCTATTACAACACAAACTTTAGTAATAGATTAAACATGGCTTTAGAGGTGTGCAACTGATCTACCCAATTCTTACATAAAGGGCACAGTTCTGTCAGATTCTAGCTAAAATGGTTTTAAGTATTTAATAAGCAAGTAATATTGCTTGTGAATGATTCATTCACGAACAGATTATGCAAATCTCATAGAAATTCTTCTAATTTTAAATTCCTACAGAATTTTTGCCTAAGTTTTAAGCAAAATTCATGGCAGCACATGTGAGACATTTCTTTCTATTAATGTTTCTCCCTAATCTCATAAAGAAGTTTAACTACTTTCAGAACCCATTTTAATAACATCTCTGATTGTTAGAGGGTCTGAATATTACCTTTGACAAATCTGCTGGCAGTGACAGTTTAATATTCCTGAAATGCTAACGAAGAATGTTTCCTCCTATACTACCAGCTAAATCTGCTGTTGCAGCAAGCCTTCGTAAAAGATCATCTGTGTCTCTTCCTTGCAAAGAATTTGGCTTTTTGTACTTAACTATATATTATTAATATTTGATAGATCAGACACAATCAGAAATTAAATACAAATACTGTATTGTGAAAAAAATGATATTTTGATTTTTGGATATTGAAATATTTATGGTAACAGCAAAAACTTCAGGCTGGTTCACCCATTCAGTGATTCATCATGGAATCACAACTGCATGGCCAGAGATTTTGGTCAGAAGTCTTATGAACATGCTATACATGTTCTTGATCATGCTTGATCATGATGGTTGATCATGATTCGTGCTTGATCATGATGGTTCACTGACATATGCAAGTTGCTACTTGATATTCTAGTCATCAAGGGAAGAACATGCTTGAGTGAACCAGTCCACAAATGATAATTTTCCTTTAGGGAGAAGAAAGCTGCTTAGTTAACCTGATTAGGAACAATGTCTTAAGAAATTTAAAACTAGAATTTCAGATATATTTTTTTTTTCTGATTTAACAGTCATTGAAGAAGACAGAGTACATCATCCAGAGGATAAATATGGTGTCTCACTGTGGTAGTTGTAATCAGGGCAGACCTTCTGCACTAGTTTGTAATCAACACTGTAGAAAGCAATGTAAATACAGATGACCTTAAATGGTTTAGAACATAACCAGGACACATGGCTTTGGGTCTGCTCCTGGTAGCAGATTTTTGAAGGGTCAAAGTTACACAATGCAGTTTTCTTAGCCCTATCTGTTTTCTCATACTCAATTCGACAGTTGAAAGACTTTGATTCCTTAGTCTCTAGAGTTGATTGAGGGGAAGATTCAAACTCCACCACCTTGGAAGGTGGCACCAGGCTCACAGAAACATTTCCAAGGCCTGTTGAATTGTGCCGGAAATAAACACTAAAGGTTCCATTGCCATGATCAACAATCTTCCCTGTTATCAGAAGATTCAACTTCACAGTTTTGATGTTAGAATGAAAGTCGCCCCATCCAAACATTTTTTTGAATTTTCCAGTTTTTACAATTGGTCTGCGTTTAGTTCGTGCAAGAGATTCCTGAACTTCAGTGATATTGGATAACCAATCCCAAAAGTTCTCTGTGTTGTCTGAATATGACATCTGCCCATGTTTCATTGCTGGAGAAGGCTTCACAAAAAGGCGTAAAGGATTGATGATCTGTGAATGGACTACATTAGCAACCAATGTGTCTGTAGCTTCTTTATCCTCCCAGTCCAGGAAGTCTGTGGCCTGGATGATTTGCTTAGCATCACAGAATATCTGTTTCAAAAGAGAAAGAGAAAAGAATATGAGAAACAGAAATCTGCTATTTTTATCATCCCTTTCTTTACAGAAAAAAAAGTTTTAAAAAGCTTATAATATTACTGAGCTATTGTACAATACTTGTATTAACTGAGCTCAGTTTTGCTGGATTCTACCCAAATGTTATTCCTATCTCCTAATTGCCAGAGCACAGTGAATTTTCTACAGCTGACTTGATATGAATCAAATTCTGTATGTTTCCTTCTCAAACTCCCATTAAGAACTATTTCACCTGCTCTTTATATAATCTTATGATGTAAAATTGTGAGTCTGCTCATTTTCTTTTTATATCATATGTCTTAGGTTACAAGCCATAACTATAAAATAGAAACTCCTTGAATTGTTTCACAGGAGGACAATATATACATATAGCAAATAAAATAAATAACTAAATTGGAAGTACTTCATGAATAAGTGATAGCACTTGTGAATTATTCATTCATGAATATTTTAAGAATCATATTGTTAAACACAGCAGTTTTAAATGCAAAGTGCACCACAAATCTTTGATAACATTCTATTTCTACCAGTATAAAAAGCCTCTCCCTCCCTCCCTCCCTCCCTCCCTCCCTCCCTCCCTCCCTCATACTTGTCTTAGAAGTGTACTTATTCAACATTGCTTAAAAGTTACCAAATATTTATTACCTTTTATATTTATCCAATCACATTTAAATGTACGATTTTCAATTTAAGAGTTAAGGTTCATAAAAACTGGGTAGTGAAATTATGTCCAATGAAAGAGCAGGGCTACTATACTGAGTCATCCTGTTTTCCAGAAAACTAGAAATGCTCCTACTCTGAACTCAAAGATGGATAATAGTGCAATATAGCAGACCTAAATTGTTTTACTAGTGACCTTGCTCTAAAACTGAGATTATTTTTTTAAATAAGGATTGGATTAATTGTTTGCAGGTGAACTGCAGCATTTTCAGAATCATTATATTCAGAAAGGGTAGATTACTTTAAAATATTATTGGAATTTGTGATTTAATTAATACTTATTCTAGGGCAATCTAGCTGTGAATATTTTATAAGAATATCTTGATTACTATTTCATGTCATATTAAAATGATTGTAATTCTTATCACAATGTATTCTAATGTAAAACTAGTATTCTTTACTATGTGTGTCTGCATAATATCCAAATACATTTTTTATTTGTAATTAAAGTATACAAAGGAATATTGTCACATGAAATTTTCAAAGTTGCTTACTTAAAAATTCTACCTTTATACAACTTCTGTTTATTACCATCTTTTGTTCTTTAGAAGGCATGTGAAAAATCATTTCAGTTTCTGTAAGGCTTCTTCTCAATTTGACCCTGAACTTTTTATTCAGGGTCCCCAATAGTTTACATTTTTCAATGTTTCAATATATTTTTATAGCTGTTATTTCACTTCTATTGCCCTGTGACACAACCAGATTACAAAATGAGATTGACACTTGATGTTGTGAGAAGATAATCAGGCATATTTCTTTTTCTTTTCTTTTACTATGCAGTCTTGCCTAAGATAAATAAAAATAAAGTACTTGGAGCGAGTTTTAGTCAGGTTAGTGCAAAATCATAAGTATAATCTGGTTGGAAAATGACCCAGTCCTCACCTCTCCCAAAGCTTCTGTGTTGAGAGGTAAGCGAAATACTTCCAAGGTATATTCTTGGCACATAACATGCACTTATATTGTTTCTCCTGCTGTAGGTAAATGTCTCAAAAAGTTTTCCTTAATGTTGCTACTAATTAAATAATTTATTTTTGTAAGAATATTGTTGTGAATGCACAGTACTGGGAAATTAAAATAATTTATCTCCTTTCTCTGAGCAACTTGTTTTCATAGAAACAAGTTCTGTTAAAAAAAAAAATCTTTTAATTCTCAGTTTAGTCTTTTTATGACTGCATCAGTATAATTACCAAAGAGGCAATGTACTCTGCGTTTGCTTGCTTTTTTTTCCTTTTGATTAGGAATGCAATATAATATGAACAAACTTCCACTTATGCACTGGAATTTCTCCCTGCAGCCTCCTCACATCCCTCAGGAGCCCCTTCCTCTTTTGATTTAGAACTTCAGGACACGTGTGGTCCATCAGCAACATTTGTTCCAGTTCTGGATGACATTAGTTAGTATTAAATGAATCTTTAGAGATGAATAACTATTTCCATTTTTTTTCTTAGAACTATTAATCAAAATATTCTAGATTTATCTGCTAGTAGAATGGTAATCTTGGTAGACCACTGATGTGATCAGCAGCACCTTTTCCTTGGGTTCTCTTCTACATATTCATATTGGAAAGAGTTACAATGTGTACTCTGTTACCGAAGTGTTAAAAGCTGCAACTCACTCATTTTTAGAAATGATGTTCCATTATACATTCCTCATTTGGTAATAAAAAGCAGTCGAGATAATGCTTTTATTTTAGAAAATAAGGAAAATAAATTGACTTCCTAATATGGTGCTCTTCAGATGTGTTGGATGGCAATTCCTATCCCTTTCAGGCATACGTAATGGAATAATAAAAGTTATAGTCCAACACTTAGAAAGGGCACCAGACTGGAGAAGACTTCTAAAAACGTTCTTCCTAAATAGATAACACATACATTCCACTATCTTTTTAACCCAATCAAGTAGAACGTATTCTATTAATTCATCAGAAAGATGAGAACTTAGGCTTTGCTATTAATCACGTGTTACTGTATAAAGGCAAAAAATGAATTGGATTTTATAGCAGCAGATGTGACTGCCATCAGGAATGTTGTAAGGATGTAAGGAATTCCATAGGATTTTACCCATTCAATCTCATATTTATGTGTTTTCCAGAATTTGTTGTGGTAACCCCAATTCTTGTTCTGCACCTGAAGCAGTACATTTTATCCCCAACTAAAATTGCTACATTTTTAAAATCTCTTAAATTAGAGAATTTGCTGCCTAAGGTCTTGGATGAATGTATGTGTGAATGTTTGTATGTATGTATGTATGTATGTATATATGTATTAATTATTTTATATGGCTGCCCATCTCACCACAGGAACCTTATATAGCTAAGAACATGTAAAAGCACAATACAAAATAATAGAATATAGAATAACATTAAAAAAAAAACTATAAAGGCAGTAGTGGTAAAACTCAATGTATCGTAAATTCAGGACTATAACCATGTGGGCTCCAAATAATTGCCCAAACCTCAAGCTTGGGAACACATCCATGTCTCTAAAGCCTTCCAAAAAACCAACAAAGTTGGGGCCAAATGGATTTTGTTGCCAAAGGGCAGGCACCATGAAAGAAAAGACCCACTTCTGGGTCCCTTAAGATGACAAACTTTAATTGACAGGACCCACAACTTGCCGGAACCTAGGCACATTAATAGCCAGGAACAGTGAAAACAAGTTCTCTGTCCTTTACTGTTCAAATTTAATCACATGTAATTTATTGCATCTACACAATTCTCCATGATTCCATGACAGATGGAAATGGCAGGCCCCTCCACCACCAATGACATCAAGATCCATGGTGATGCGGAACCCCTGAAATGCTCTTTCCAACTCTTTCCTGGTCTCCTTAATTTTATAAATGAACTGCAAGTACACACAACAGTACAATTCATATATTTACAACATAAAGCTTCATGTTAAGGTAGAATTGTATTCTGCAGTCATAAACATGTTGAAGACTTGTTAGGCTTCCACAGATAGCTGGATTAATGCATCTAATTTGGGAAGATGGTATCAACTCATGCAGATCTGATAATTGCCTTGGTTTAGAATTGGTTATGATTTAAAACCATTTTGATGAATGTTATTGATAAATGGAAATGCATGACTTAAGAGAATGCCAAGCCGTCACAATCTTGCCTGATGAGAGATTTATCTACTGCATCAACTCTTTCTTCTAATTCCAAAGGGTTAAACATAGTGATTATTTTCCATGAAAATCTATCATTCAATAAAAAGCACTCTTGCTTTTCATGAGGGAATTTGAGAACTCTTTTGAGATGATCTACAGAGTGAAAGGTTTTTGAATAAAAACTCATTTTTCTCCTCTTCCTCCTTTCTTTCACATCTCTCTAGCTCAATAAAGCTTCCTTATAGTAGTTCTCAACGTATGATTATTCGTTTAACGACCATTCAAAGTTACGATGGCACTGAAAAAAGTGACTTATGACCAGTCCTTGCGCTTATGACCATCACAGCGTCCCCATGGTCACATGATCAAAATTCGGGCACTTGGCAACTGGCATATATTTATGACGGTTGCAGCATCCCAAGGGTCACGTGATCATCATTTGCACCCTTTCCAAGGGGCTTCGAACAAGCAAAATCTATGGGGAAAGCTGAACTCACTTAATGACTTCATGATTTGCTTAATGACTGCAGCAAAAAAGGTCGTAAAATCAGGTGTGACACACTTAACAACCGCATCGCTTAGTGACAGAAGTTCCAGTCCCAATTGTGGTCGTAAATC